AATGGTCTGGGTTGTTTGGAGCTTTCCATAAGACCACTTTGGCCAACCACTCAATTAGATGTAACACATTCCCAGTAATGGAGGTTTCATTTGGTATCAATATATGTCCAGTTGAGGTTCCATCTCCCCCTTTATTTGGCAATTCCATTTAGAACCCCTTTTTATATGTATATACTTTAGGAAGCTTCTTCTATTAGATTTTGATACAACCCCTCAAATGACTATTAGTTTTAGCTGCCCCTCCTTATATTCTCTCCCTATCTCCATTACCTTTTTCTACCTGTTTGATCCTACCCCCCCACACACTCGAAATCATCATCATCATCCATCCCTCCATCCATCAATAACTATGTTATATTTCCTTTTCACAGGGAGATCCTTCCCTCCTCCCAGAGTCACTTACTCTGTCTACTTAACCTCTGTGTCTTTATATATTATAGCTTGCTTATCAATGATTTAACAGCTAACATCCACATATAAGCAAATATATACCTTGTTTGTCTTTCTGAGTCTGAGTTACCTCACTTAGAACTACTTTATCTAGTTCCATCTATTTATCTGTGAATTTCATAGTTTCATTTTTCAAAAGCTGAGTAATTTTCTATTGTGCATGGACATGCTGATATGTATGTGTGTGTGTGTGTGTGTGTGTGTGTGTGTGTGTAAACCATGATATAGCCTTAGATGTGTGTTCCTTAGCTTTTGAGATAAGATATCTCTCTCTCTCTCTCTCTCTCTCTCTCTCTCTCTCTCTCTCTCTCTCACATTGGGACCTAGGACTTGAGATTAGGCTAGGCTGGGTAGCTAATGAACTGCAAAGATCCACACGTCTCTTCCTCCCCAGTTCTGGGATTACAAGTGTCTGCCATCAAGCCCAGCCTTTGATGCGGGTGCTGGGAGGCAAAACAAGGTCCTTCTGCTTATATGACAAGCACTTTATCAACTGAACAATCTACCCAACTCTGAGATTTGTTTCATTTTTGATAAGCAGGCATGAAACAGAGGAAAACTTTCTATAGCATAATATAAGAGCAAATCAATAATCCCACAGAAATTTCTCTATCAATTATTTCATGAAAAGTCAGTATTTCAATGGAATTCCATTAAGCTGCAAAGAAAATGAAACTTTGAAATTTGAAGGAAAATGGAAATAGGAAATGTTAAGGGTAGCCCAGGCTCAGAAAAACAAAGCCACATGTTCTCTCTCAGATATAGATCCTAGCTTCTAATTATTAATTATGCATATTTAGATGGAGATAATTAGGGGCTGGGGGCCAAGACACTTGAAAAGGGCCCATAAAAAAATGTATCATTAAGGGGGGAAGCTGGAGAGAGATAGAACACATATGGTATGAAAATGAGAGGAGGCAATACTGTAGTTGGAAGGGTACAGTGAAAACAGAGGTAAACATGGTGATGGAGGACAGGGATGGGGTGAGACTCATCCAAAGAGATATATATATGAAAATGCCATAGAAAAACCTGTTACTTTGTAAGCTAATTTTTTTATAAAATTAAACTTAAAATTTAAAGGAGTAAATATAAAACTTAAAGGAGTAAATATATATGCATAAATACAATCAAGTAAAACCATATTTCCATCTTTAAAGCTCCCAGTATGTGTCTGTATCAGGGCACTCAAGTGTTCTTTCCAGTACTTATGAAAAAGTCTGCAGTGTTTTCCTCACAATAGATGATTCCTGCTGACTCATTTCTAATACGTGATTACACCTTATTCTCCACTCTAACTAGCAAGCTTAAAAAGCCTCCATATGGAATTTCCAAAATAGACTTAAGTCCTTCAAAGTAATATTTTTGTTAATAGGATGCTTGCAAATGCCTCAAGAGTTCTGACCTCAAGAAATGCAAATTCACCTTAGTAACACTTGAGCATCAAAACCAGTGGCATGAAGAGAAAAAAAATTGTACAAAGAGAATGCAAAATAAAAATTTAAAAATATCCACCCACAACAGCATTGTTCAACAAAAACACAATGTAAAGGTGTATAATTGAACTATTTTCGTAACTACATTTTAATATAAGAAATAAACGGCTAAATTAATTTAGTGATATGTCTTATCCAAGACAGATAAATAGAGGAGAACTTAGCACAGAGTCTCATTCCTAGCACCGAAAGTGGAAAAATTTTCTTTCTTTCAATGGAGTGACTCTGGTTGTATCAACCACACTCCAGGGGAGGCCCCATACACTGTATTGCCAACACAAATCACAAGCCATGTTTTTTGTAGGTTTTTGTTTCCTTTTAAAAAGAGATCAAGAACATGAAATGTGGACTGGTAGAGAGCTAAGTGAGGATCTTGGAGGAACTGGGAAAATATAAACATGTATATGAAATTTTCAAAGAATAAATAAAACTTTGAAAAAGGAAAAACGAGAGGAAATGAACGGAACAGGAATCACGTGGGCTCAGCTGGAAAAAGCACACAACACTCTGATAGACTAGAGATGACAGAAATGTCATCTGACCTTGTTAATATGTAACACCAAGTGGGGAGCACATTCTATACAAGAGGAGTGCTGTCTATAAATGAGTCTATCTGTAATGGGCTGTCATCAAAGGAGAGAATTCCAACCATGTGTGGGGACAAAATTATTAATGTAAAATTTAGCAACAATGTATGCTGACGATGTGGAAATGCAACTGTCTTTGAGAGCAAAGGGAACCAAAGGAGAGGAAAGGGTCTTGGGCTGGGGTGGGGGTATGCCCCAAAATAACATGTATTTGTATGAAAATATCCTTGTGAAACCAAGTACCATTGTACAATGAAAATTTGACAATTAAAATTGTTTATTACAAAACTCCTTCAATAGTAAAAATAAAGACTTAAGTTCTGCCCCCCAGCACCCATGTATACTTCAGGAGCAGTGACACATGCCTATTATATTACTGAAGTGCTGGGGGATAGAGGCAGGCAGGTTCTGGGATCATGCTGGTTAGTCATTCTAGCCTAGCTCACAAGCTCTAGTGAGGTTCACTTAAGAGACTTCGTTCCAACAATAAGCTAGAGAGTGTGCTGTGTGTTATTCCTGAGAAAAAAGATGTTTGCCTGCTCTGGGTAGGGAAACAGTGAGAGACCCAAGAAGGGGTACAGCAAATTCTACTTTGATGAACCACTGAATTTCATTGGGGTTACTTACAGGGATGTAAGTGAGGGATTACTTATAGGAGCAGAAATCACTCAGAAACAGTGGCATCACTAAAGCCAACCCTGACATGGGTGACAGCTCATGAAAGCTAAAACCCTGGAACACACTGCACAGCCTGCAGGCAGCAACAGATGGTAAAGTACTGTTCCGTGGGGCTCAGTTGGTCTGAGCCTATTCAGGCAGCTTGGCTGGTTTTGTTGTTTCTAGACAATTTGGCTGCTCTCTGCTTCTTCCAGGTAGCTCAGCTGCTCTGAGCCACTTCTAGGCACCACAGCTTGTCTGAGAGTGTCTCTCAGCAGTCTTTACTGTTTATATATGCTTGAGAAAGGAGCCTAATATATCTGGTTGGCTTCAGGAATTCCCCGAAACCTTTGTTTATTCCCTGAGTTTAAGAAGTCTTCCAGTAGGAAACCTCCCATTGGAACATCTCGTCTTAACAAAACTTCTCAAGATGGAGGTTTATCTCAAGGACATTGCTTCACAACAGAGAGATAGAGGAAGGCAGATGACTTGGACCTCTGGCCTTCACATACATACACAGGCATGCACACATGTATGTATATACACACATACATCATAGAGCATACACAAAAAAATTAAATGTTGTCATTTAACACATCAGTGTAAAATCATTAATGCATTAGTAAAATAATTTACATTTTTCATATCAAGAATATAGAATCTGGTATGTACTATAGTATTACAATACATATCAATTCAGACTAGATATGTTTTTGTGTATTCAACATCCATGTGTCTGATGCCTGTCATATACCAAACCTATACCATGGTTTATATAAGCTTGTGTTGCTGGATTGCCTATACGTCTTATTATAATACACATTTCCAAGTGCCCGAGTTTCTTTTTGATAGATTTGGGTGGAAATTTCTGAGAATTTGCATTTTTAGCAAACCTTTGGATGCTGCATTTACTGAAGAGCTAGTAACTACACTTTGAGAACCATGACCTTACTTCTTTCAGAGCTCAAGTTTGCAACCATTTTCCCACAGTGTTAACATAAATGATCAAAAATAGATACTACATTCTGTGATGATTGATATTATTAGTTACGATCATATTTTGTACATCATAGCAAATCACCAGTATTCTATTTGTTGCATAATATTGAAAAATTATTGGTATGAGTATGTGTTCCACAGATGTTAGTGTCTATTACTGGATGATTCTTTATAGGATTCTTAACAAGGAAGAACATTTCTTGGCTTTTTTGCCCTTACTATTTGCAGAGCTATATTTATCCTCATGGTCATAGTCAGTGTGATGTCATAATGTAGCCTTTTAAAATGTGACAAACTAAGCTGGGTGTTCGTGGCTCATGTCTTTAATCCCAGCACTCAGGAGGCAGAGGCAAGCGGATCTCTGTAAATCTGAGACCAGCTGGTCTACAGAGCTAATTCTGGGACAGCCTCCAAAGCCACAGAGAAACCCTGTCTCGGAAAACGAACAAAAACAAACAAAAAAACAATTGGCAAACTATCATTCGGGAAAATTTTAATCTAATAGGTGCATATCCGAAGTATTAATGTCAGTTAATTTGATTTTGAATGTAGTCATTGATTTTAAGAATAGTAAACTTTAGAATACTAAGTGAAAAACAAAAGTAATAATATATGGTTCACTCTCTCATGACATTAATTCATCTCTGATGTGTACTGGCCCTGGCTACTAAATGGTAGGTCATTGTGCTCACTTGTCTAAGTTTTAGTTCCATCCTATATCTACATGTTTCAGTATTTCATCTTTGCTTTTATATTTCTAAAGAAAATAACGAAAAATTAATTTCTTGTCTTTAACCTTTTCTGTTGTAAGAATACAAAAACAGCTTCTGAGCCTCCTTTGGCTCCCCCAGTATCTGAAGAAGAAGATGAAGAAGAGGAAGAGGAAGAAGATGACAATGAGCCCCCACCTGTCATTGCACCAAGACCAGAACATACAAAATCAGTAAGTTAGAAAGACAGATATGGTATGTTTCCCTCTCATTTACTGTTTCCTGATTTTATATAGATTCATAACATGCAGACATATGTCCTGAATGGAAAAGTAAAACTATCTAGGGCAGTGATCAGTTCTCAACCCATGGATCACGCATGGCCGTGTGTGTGGGGTTGAATATCAGATATCCTACATATAAGATATTTACATTACAATTCCTAACAGTAGCAAAATTACAGTTATGAAGTAGGAATGAAAATAATTTCATGGTTGGGGTCACCACAACATGAACTATATTAAAGTGCCACAGCATTAGGAAGGTTGAGAACCACTGATCTAGAAGAACAAACTGGAATAATGGGAGGGAGGGAATTAAAGAAGGGAAGGGTAGTTGTGGGAGTATGGGAGGACACATGCTGAAAATTCCATTACATAACATGGTGCCATGGACAATAAATACATACAATAATTCTTTAAATGAGTTTTGAGCCTATCAGGACACAAAATGGGAAGAACATGAGAACATTGGATCTATTTAGCATTGTTAGTAAAAAATCTTACTTAAGCAAGAAAACATCAGTGAGCGAGTATTTTTCAATTACTCAAAAAGATGCCTTTGGAACAAGTTTTGTAGCACATGTCTTTAATCCCATTATTTCAGAGGCTCAGGAGATAGGATCCAAAGTTCTAGACTAGCCTGTGCTACAATAGAAAGACTCTGGCTCAGAACAAGAGAAAGAATCAAAATAAGATGCCATTTTGTGGCTGAGAAGACACCTGAGTTGGTAAAGTACTTGTTGCACAACCTTGAGGTCATGAGTTCCATTCTTCAGTCCCAGGAGCATGTGCTTAAAATCCCAGTGCTGGGAAGGCAGAGGCAAGGCAATCCCTGGGAATTGCTTGCAAGTTGGTCTAGCCATCTTTAGGTTTAGTGAGAGACCCTGTCTCTGAAAATGTGTCAGAGAGCAATTGAGAGACATCAATTGAGAGTCATGTGCATGGGTGCATGTATGTGTGTGCACACAAACACGCACACATATACATACACATGGAGATTTCATTTCTATTATAATTTTTAGAATGTTGTTAATCAATTCATATCCATTGTGCATCTCTTGTGTTCCCAGAACTAGAGTATAAGATACGAGCCTGAGGGTTAGAGAAATGACTCAGCAGTCACAAGTGCTTACTGATCTCCCAGAGAACAGGAGTTTATAGCAGCTATATTGGCAACTCATAAGCACTTGTAACTCCAGTTTTAGGGAATAGTTCACACTCTTTTGGTCCCACAGGCATCTGAACACACATGGTAGACGCATAAGCACATGTGCATACATATACACTCATGAATTAAAAATAAGATAAATCATTTTAAATAGTGATAGCCCATTTTTATCTAAAATTTTTGTTATTGTTCTAATGTTTGTTATATAAGTACAATTTTTACATCATTTCTACACTTCCCTCTTGCACCTCCAACTCCTACCATGAATCCTTCTTGCCTCTCAAACTCACAACCTCTTCTCTTATAATTATTGTAGTTTTATATGTGTATACTGCACAATCCAAAAGCAACACTAAAAGCCCAGTTTGGAGGGTCACAATTTGAAGGTATTAGATCATCACATTCAATGATTTGCTAATAAATAAAAAAAAACCCACGTTACTGCAAATTTATAAAACTGCAGAGGTGAAAATAAGGAAAGAACCCCATATGAACCAGGAAGAGGCAGCAAAATCATGGGTAGGGACTTGGGAGCTTGTAAAGTATGTGATGCTCCTTAATATTTTTTTGACAACAGTAAAGTGACAGTACCTTTCTGCCATGCTTTTCCTTACCTACTTTATCAATTGTGGAATTGTCTTTCAGATCTACACTCGTTCTGTGGTTGAATCGATTGCTTCACCGGCAGCACCAAATAAAGAAGTCACCCCGCCTTCTGCTGAGAATGCCAATCCCAGTGCTTTGTACAGAAATACTGATCGGCAAAGGAAAAAATCCAAGATGACAGATGAGGAGATCCTAGAGAAGCTAAGTGAGTGTTTTTCCTTCGGAAAGCACTTCTTATGCAGTGCCTGGAAGGAGACTTGATCCTTTAGATGTCTGAATCTGCTCCTCACACTCTAGAATCCCTTAAGTCATGAAATACAATGTTTAGGACTTACTGTGTATATCAGTCAGGTGAGTCTGTCCCCCATACTCCTAGTCTGAGAAAAACTAGCATTTTCACCTAGAATATGCAGTGAAGATGTGAACTTCACAAACTATATTAAGCTAGTAAGATATAAGTTTGCATTCTCAAAAGGAATTCAGGTACTTTGATTAAAATACTTTAAGACCATACCAGAAGGTCCCCATCTGAAGGGGACAAACAAACAAACAAACAAACTTAAAGTCCAAAAGACAAAATTTGAATACTTACAAGTAAAGTAGAATTCCCTTATCTGTGGGGAGGGAGATGGGACCAGCCAATGATAGCAGTCACTTCCAAGGCATCATTGATGCAAACATGCTTTTGCTCTTAACATTTAGTGCACTGGTTTGATGAAACACTCAAGACTCAAGATTATGAGATAGATTCTCCCCTAAAAAATGTTATATGAATTGTATGTGTTGAATTGACACAGAATGGCTAGATATTAGGAATCAGAGTTCCCAGTTTGACTCTTACTAGTGCCTTCTTCACTTTTTTCTTTGTTTGATAAGACTTAATAACATGATACAATAAGAGGTCTATTCCTTTTTTTCACTTTTACAGCTAACAGAGCAAAGAGAAAAAATTCATTTCTTGGCCACAGGGAGGCACTGCAGATGTGGCGATAGGGTCAACTTGCCACCTAGGAGATACTTGAAGTTTTTAGTTCCCCAATTTAGATAGGACTATCATCATGTAGATAATAACAGCTAGGAATGCTTGTAGAATTGTACAATGTCTATGACACCCTCTCCTGTTTCCTTCACAGCAAAGTTGTCATTGGGACTGAATAATTACTTCATGTCTACTGCATTCAAAATACTTCATATGCAGCACTACTGTCATTTGAAGTAGAGATATTTGGGAAGGTCAAGGTTGAAGTTGCAGCTATCAGTAAGCACTCAGAACTAGAATTGCTACCATTTAGCAAACTGACTTTGCTATACTTGATTAAACATGCTTCTAGTGCCAGTGCCCACTATTTGCTATAATAACAGCCATAATAATTCTTACACGAGGAGCACTCTGTTAATGGCCACTTTCCATACATTATTGAGGTTAATTTTCTCTACAATCATTTATGGTAGACTTTAATGTCTTCATTTTACAGAATATTGAATGAAAGCTTTAAAAAGCTTAAGTGACCAAGTTACCAGGATAATGAGTGCTATAACCAGAGTGTGACCTCACATCTGTATGCACTTTTGCCATTAGCCACTTTGGTTTTGCATAACCCAACTACTCATGCATAAAACGGAAAGGGTAGACAAAGAGAACAGCCAGGAAAATGAAGTTCAATGATTCTGATAATCACTACACTTTCTTTCTTTGTTTTGTACATATAGCATAAACTGTGAAAGCGATTATATTTGACTTTCAAAGTCTGACATTGTGCGTTAGTAAAAATGACTGTTTTCTGGTGTCTTTCAAACCTCAGTAAATTCATTGTCATGAATGGATTTATGCATTTCATAAGTCAGCTGAGAAACAGATACTATCTTTCTGAGCTGCAGTTTTGCTTACAGATTATGACAGTGCTCAGGCTGGGGCCTTTCTGGCCTATTTATTTCATTCTGCATTGAGAAACAACAGGACAAATAGGAGAAAGATCTGTTTAAATGAGAAAAAAACTGTAAAAAAATGAAGTGAATGTTTTTCTCGGTCAGACTTCATATTTCTTTATGGGAGTCCACAGACAATCATTTTCCTTCTAGCAAGCAGGCCACCTTTGTCTGTCTGACACCTTTCCTTTGTGCTTATGAATCTTGCCAAGGAAAACTGACAGAGAAATGGAAAGGGCCTTCTTAGGAAGTAGATACCTATAATTCAGAATGCTCAGTCCCTGCTTCACCTTCTCTATGCCCCCTCAGTGTGTTTACACACTGGCAACCAGAAAGGAGTTATTTAACCCTGCCTGGTCTCAGTCTCTTACCTAAGAAATGGGTGAAAGAATCTAAGTGCATATTTAAAGTTTCTGGGTAGAATGGATTATAAGAGGACAGGTGTTGGGATCAGAAAGGCCTAGATTTAATCACAGACATACTCATGCTAGCTATTTCTATTTTAGCCAGTTATTTAATTTTGCTGGTCCTCTATTTCTTCATCCAAAAAGTCAGAATAATAATAGTAATACCAGCTTCGTGACATTATGCCAACAAAAATATCAGCAAATGTATCAGGCTCATAGTGTGGGAGTCAACAAATGCTCATTGTTGTATTAAGTGTACAAACCTTTAATGGGATCATACAATAGGACAAGCTTTGAAATGATCATAACGAAGCTGGAGTCATATGAACAAGCCCTATATCCCTTAGCAAGTATTGTACTTTCTTTGAACTTCCAGTAACAATCCCAATAGGATGAAAGCATTTTTGAGGATTAATAAATGCATTCTATTGAGCACTATATACAGCACAATAATTAGTTTTAAATTATTTTTTTAGTATTATTGTGAAATCATTGGGGAATGGGAATGGCCTTCCACTAAAATACAATGTTTACAACTCAGGACAGTCTCATAAGTGTGGTTCCTGCACAGAAGTTGTTAGGATTCATGGAACAAAAGGTGCAAAGGAATCTCGAGGATGGAATAGAGGAGACTGTGTCGAGAGGCAAAATAAAGGGAAAGCAGGCAGAGGAGTAAAGGCAAGACTTGCCACCTACAACAGAGTGAACCCTTCAAGAATGAGGAAGTAATGACAGCTTCTACTTAATCATCCTCATCTTCAACCTCAAGAATGTGATTGCTAGGAACTGTGCAAGCCAAACCACAGAGCTACCAGGCAATTCATCTTCTATTCAGATACTGATGCTAGAGGCCAAACCAAGGAATCATTAAGAGCTGAAATGGACAGATCATCTTTCAGTTTTACACAGACAGATATCTTTGGTCTGGCTTGCTCGTTGTGGTCTGTCTGGGTCTGGTGGAAAATAAAGAAACCCTTGCACGCTAGTGAACATTTTACAGAAGGCACAGTCAACACAATTGTGCAGTTCAGGACATTTCTCTCTAACCAACCCACTCTAAGCCCCACAACCACTGCCCTCCCTTCCCTAGCAGTCTATGCTCCAAATTCTTTTTCCTCACTCACCATCGAAGGCAATCATAATTAATCTAGATACTTATTAAGCTCTTCTTCAAGAATAAAAAACACAAACCCAAAACCCTCCTTCATACTCAAGTGATAACCTCTCAACGACAGGAATCCAGTTAGCTTAATATGACAGAAAATATATTGATGGGTCTTTTGTCTTTTAAACCACCACATGAATCCCATCTTCAAATACTAGAATTTTTTTTTAATGTTACACTTTAAAATTAGTGGTTTGCTTCTCAATTGGTATGAAATGGCTCTGATATTTCTATCACGTTTTTCTCCACTTGATTTTATTTAGTGATCTATTCTTTGCTCAACTGTGTTCCCATAGTTTTCATTTTCCTTGTTGTAATTTATAAAAGGAAATTGTAATGGACCCAAAGAGAGCAACCCCCTGAAAAGCTTGTTCTGTGACTGGAATTGTAAAGGAAAGAGTCTTGCATGCACAGTTGCCTACCATCAGTAGATGGCAGCACACACAATCTGGTGAAGGGCAGAGGCTGTGGTGATGCCATTTTAATTGGCCAGCAGTTAAAATCTGAAGCACAATCTCATCAAAATGGATGTCTCCTAGTGGTCCTTATGAAAAGATTCATTTCCAGGTTTTTTTTTTTTAACACCACATACCATGGAAATAATGGTTGAATAATTTACTACCATTAACTGAACCCTGCCAATTGGAATTGGTTGCAATTCAGAAAGTGGTTTTAGCTAAAGCTTATTTGCTTTTTGATCAGCCTATGGAAAAGAGTTTGCTCAGCAACTTCACAGCAAAACTTTCTTAGACAAGTTAAACCATTTTATAAGACTCTGGTTTCAAGTGACTCTAAAATCAGAATTTCATCAAAAGAGGAAAACAGATCCAGGCACTTAGCCATTAAATTAATAACTGACTTGGAAAACGGAGGATTTAGTGATGTGGAAATCCATTAGACAATTTGAAAAATAAAATAGCAACTTGTGTATCACTAAGCTGGTGGCATTCTAGAAACATAACTCCAATAAAATAAAATATATTTGTCAACCTTTCTTGAACTATGGATTTTTTTCCAAAAGGAAATTCCTAACTTTACTTATGTTAAATTTCACAAGAATTTACTGAATAATGGATAGGTTTTTTTTTTATAGCTTGTACGGTATAAGGAGACACGTGGGATGTACAGGTGAATAAGACTTGGCTCCTGTCATTCAAACAACCTAAAGGGTGATGTCAAAGTGACACATTAAGGACAGTGAAAAAGAGAAGTAAAGAGAGAAAAGGGAAGTTATTAACTTTACTCAAAAGGATCATGGAAGGCTTTCTAGAAGAAGTGACATCTGTGATACCCTTTAAAGCAGTGAGCTTGTTGTGGGAACAACATGGGAAGGGCGTTGCAGGTGGAATATATCATGTAAAGGCTTTACATGATCTTAGCTCAAATGCCAAGAAGCAATGTATGTAAAGACTTGAAGGTTCATACCTAGAACCTGCAATTAGAATAAAGAAGCTGAGTTAAGACATATGGGTCTTCAGCGTCAAAAAGCTATGACTCTTGCAGAGGTCCAGAGTTTTATTCCCAGCATGGATATTGAGTGGCTTACAACACCTGAAACATCAGCTGCAGGAGATCCAATGCCCTCTTCTGGCTTCTTGGAGTACCTTCCTTGCTTCTCTGTCCGTCTGTCTGTCTGTCTGTCTGTCTGTCTGTCTCTCTCTCTCTCTCTCTCTCTCTCTCTCTCTGTGTGTGTGTGTGTGTGTGTGTGTGTGTGTTTCATTGCAGTGATCATAGAAGGGTATGGAGAGGTTGATGCTGTGAGGTTACATTTAGGTGATAATTAGGAAGTCATAACTTAGAAAGGAAAATAGACAGGCATGTGCAAAATGCTTTTTCCTGGATGGCGAGACTACTCCTTAGATTTAAAGCAGGAGGGGAAAAGGCAGAAGAAGAATAATTGCTACTTAGCCTGGTTAGGTAAAAACCAGATGCAGCTGAATGATGAATGGCCTACTGTGTTCAGCTAAGGAATCTGGGCTTGGTCCTGTAGTGAGGAGGAACTTTGGGAAGATTACTTAGGGATAGATAAGACTGCTCATACTGTGAAGATCTCCTACCTTCCTGTACCTCCTACCATCTAGAATTTCATCTTATCAAGCCTTCTTAGAACCCATGGAAGATCTTAGTTTCAAAATCCCCCTCAAACCTTGCACACAGCTATCATAAAGACAAAAATGTATGCCTGTCTTTTAGAGAAGGTGACATTTGTTCCTAAGCATTACCCCTCTTTTGTTATAAGCCTCCATGTGTTAGCCTGTATGAAAATTATACCCTAACTCTGCTTTCAAACAAGAAAAAAGTAACAGGCACTATGTCCAATGTTTCTTTGTGGAATTCTTAACTGTTGTTATTCTTTGAAGTCTATGTGTTGTATCTGCATGTGTGCGTCCACACAACTATGAACACATATGCCTGTGCATGTGTGCGTGTGTGCAGGTACATGTGGGGGCTCTATATTGACATTGGGACTTTTGTCACTCTTCACCTTAGTCACCTAGGCGTGGCCTCTTAATTAAACCCAGAGCTCCCTGGTCCAGGTATTCTGGATAGTCCCTTCCTTCAGGGTCCCATCTCTGCCTTTTAAGCACTGGATTTATGGTGTCCAACTAACAAGTTATGCATGTTCTTGAGGGTATGACTCTGGTCTTTATGCTTGCAAGTGCTATGTAAATACTGAGTCAACACTTTCCCCCAGGAATGATTAATTTAAAAAAACTATATTATGATGACATTTGAACAAATTTGAAATACAGTTTTGGAAACCATTGAGTGGTGAGAGTAACGGCTCACTCACTGAAGTGGTTGTTGCACCTGGGTTCAGATCTCCAGCCACACCTAAAAATATGGGTGTGCAGTGTATGGAACCCTAGTGCTTGGGTGGCAGAAATGGGAGGTGGCCTGCTAGGCTTGCCAAACCAGTGTGCTCTAGGTTCAGAGAGAAATTCTATGTCAGAAAACTAGGTGGAGGGCCATAAAGGAAGACACCTGATGTGAGTCTATGGCCTCTATACAAGCACACACATGTCCATGAACACACATACATGAGTACATACACATGCATGGACTGCACACACAAAACAATTGAACTGCTTATTTTAAATGGATGAGTTTTTATGATGTTTAAGTCATATGTCAAATGTTTGGAGCACTAGTAGGATCCTAAGTTAAGGAATGTATATTTTTTGGAAAGTATGCATCTTCCTACGTTATGACCAGACTTGCCCATTAGACCTACACCTATATACCATCCCCTTAGCATGGAACTAAGGAACAGTATTTATATAGGTATTCATCTTACAGAGTAGAAAGTAGTGGAATTCTTCTCTTTATTCTAATTAAGAAAATTGTTTTATTAAATTATGTTTTTAGGTATTTTAATCACCTAATATATAATATCTACTTTATGAGAAAATTTTATAAATTCTGGGTTGTGTTCAGTTCATTTTTGTTTCTCAGATATAAGCAGTTTTTAATATATGCAATATGAATTATTATCGCCACTAATTAATATGTTTCAGTGTATTTTTGAATTAAGCACATTTCCACATGAATTGTGAATATTATTGATTTTGATGTCATAATTTTTACTGTTAAAAGCAAATCAATCAGTTTTAATCTTTTCTTCTCCCTTTCTGCCTCCCTCAGGAAGCATTGTGAGTGTTGGGGACCCAAAGAAAAAATATACAAGATTTGAAAAAATTGGCCAAGGGTAAGTGATTTTTATTTGAAATACCAAGATGAACTCCAACAATGTACATTAACACTCACTGACATCTCAGAAATTCCACCAATTCATAACTCCTGTTTTCTGTATTGTACTGGTGTTTTGAATTCTCAAAATTAGCTTTTCCTGCTGGTAGGTTGCTTGGTGACTAACATAGGAACACATGCTACTGGACTGTTGACTATCATTGAACTAATACCACTGCAAGAATATTTAGATAGCTATATCATGTGCACAACTACACTGATTTATCTAGAAAAGCAGTAGAGTTAGAGGAAGATCTAGGTTGTGTGAAAGCTCTCATTGTATTGTTCCCTTACATCCAAATGCATATGCAGATTAGATCCTGCTTCTTAATCAAACTGAACAGTAGCAGAATGAGTATGAGAAAGTCCTTACTGAATGGTCCAGGGTTGGACAGGGTTGACTGTCAGAGAACTGACAAAATAAATCAATAATCCTGACATGAGAGCACGTACATCATTTTCCCCTGCTGTACTTATTAAAGATGTATATTTCTAGGTCCAACTCACCAGATACATGGTTCACACTCCTTAGATTAACCTAACATCAGCAAGGAATGTGCACCAAATTTGAATCATTCACTAGGGCTCCTCGGTGTGCACCTAAATCAGAAGCCCTGGGGATGCAATAGTGTTTAATGAGAGATGCACTTTCTCATCTGACTTTCTTCCTGTCCAAGAAGAAAAAAAATCCACAAGACAAGAGCAAAAAGACAATAATCTATGCCACAGGAACACAGAAAAGTTGGCTTTTAGATTTTATTCTGATGGGTTTGGTTAAAGACAAGGGATGGTGAGCTGTGCAGAGATGGCTGTGTGGTAGAATGTGTACACAAAGGACTTCAGTTCTCAGTATCTATGCCAGTAATTGCAGATCAAGGGGATCCAAAGCCTTTTCTGACCTCCACGGGTACCTGCATTCATGTGCACAAATGTACACACCCATATATAATTTAATAATTTTTAATGGATGGATATGCACTGTTGTGGGAAACAGCACCAGAGATCTTCATTGTTCCTCATTTGGCTTAGCATGCTTGGCTGTTGAGCATTTGCAGTGTTGCTACTCCAAATTGGAATGTGCTGTGAGTAGAAAATACACACTTAATGTTAAGTCCTTCTTCTCAAAAATATTATAAAATATCTCATAGACGATTTGTCTATTGATTGTCTATTGGGATAATACTTTGAATTCATTCATCTGAATCAGTTTTTCTCAACCTGTGGGTCGTGACTCCTTGGAGGTGCAGTGACCCTTTCATAGCATGTCAGATATCCTGCGTATCACATATTTACATTACAATTCATAACAGTAGCAAAATTACACTTATAAAATAGCAACCAAAATAATTTCATGGTTAGGGTCACAACAACATGAGAAACTATATTAAAGGGTCACAGCATTAGAAAGGTTGAGAACTACTGATCTAAACAAAATATGTTTTTAAAACAGATTTCTGATCTGTGGAACTTTTAATGTAGCTCTAGATATTTAAATTGTGGCTCACATTATACTATTTTTATGTTTCTAATTATTTACTGTTTAATTGACACATAATAATTGTCACATGAGCAATGATATGATGCTTTCATTCAGGTATTTATATTGCACCTCTGTGGTATCTCAGGCTAACTGCCTCAGCAGGTAAAAGCCCTTGCCATGACTGCCTGAGCTCAATTGCCAGAATCCACAGTGGAAGGATGGAACTGACTCCATAATGTCCTTGGATCTCAACACATGCACCATGCACGTGCATGCACACACACACACACACACACACACACACACACACACACACACACACACACTGTTCACACATTCTAACATAGAATTTAAAAATATATTGTGTGATGTTCAAATCAGAGTAAACATAATGATCTCCTCATGCATCCATTTTTTCTTTATGGTAAAAACATTTAAAAACTTTTTAGATTTAAAAAGGTACATTACATTATCATTGTAGCTATTCTACTTTTTTGTTGTTTGTTTCTTGAGACAGGGTTTCTCTGTGTAGCTTTGGAGCCTGTCTTGGAACTCGCTCTGTAGACCAGGCTGGCCTGAAACTCATAGAGATCTGCCTGCCTCTGCCTCGTGAGTGCTGGGACTAAAGGCATGTGCCACCACTGTCCATCTCCTATTCTACTTTTAATAACATGCAGGAACTTCTTTCTACTATCTGTGACCCCGTATCTGTTGGCTCATCTTCTTTCACTCTTCCTTCTTTCCTACTGTACCCAGCCTTGGGTATCCAGCATTTGGCTCTCAACTTCTATTAAGTCAGTTTCTTTCACATACAGATGCAATTACATGGTACTTGTTTTGCTTGTTTGTTTGCTTTTATTTATTTGTTCTTTTTGTGCTTGGCATACCTCACTCAACATAATGAAATACAGTTGTATCCGCATTGTTCCAAATGACAGTATGACATCTTAGGTGTTCCTTGAGTAGTATTTCATCATATATATGTCTTAGGCTTTTATTGCTGTCATAAAAGACCATGACCAAAAGCAATTTAGAAAAGAAAGGTTTTATTTCATGTTAACACTTGCAGATAACAGTCCATCACTGAGGGAAGTTAGGGCAGAGACTCAAAGCAGGAACCTGGAGTCAGCAACTGAGGTAGAAGCCATGGAGGGGTGCAATATACTGGTTTGCTTAGCACAGCTTGCTGATCCTGCTTTCTTATACATCCTGAGACTACCTTTCCAGGTGTGGCTCTACCCACAATGGGCTAGGTTCTCCCACATCAATCACTAATGAAGAAAATGTCCAAAGGTTTGCCTAAAAGCTCATCTGGAGGGGGCATTTTCTCAGTTGAGGTCTGTATTCCCAAATGGCTCTAGCCTGTCAACATGACATGAACACGAAGCAACAGTATACTTTAGTAATTCATCAATTGATAGACACCGCTTGATTCCACTTATTGGCTACTGTGTAGTGTACTGCAGTAATCATGTCTTTTGATTTAATTTCCTATAAATATATACCCATCCTTGAGATTCCTGGATCAAACGTACAATGTGGATACTGGTTTAAATTCTTACTTACATTGTACTACAATTCCCCCTTTTCCACAGTGTAACCAGCATTTGTTACCTTTTGTCTTTTTGGTATTAGCCATTCCTCTGGTAAGATGCTATCTCATTGTGGCTTTGATTTTAATTTCTCTGATCATGTATGATATTAGCATTTTTCATGCCCCCTTTGGGCATGTGTCAGCTGTTGAAATTTTTCTGTTTAGATATATTTATTATCTGTAAGTGGGGTTTGGGACTTTCTTTTTTTGGTATTAAGGTTCTGCTGTTCCTTAAAATTCTAGATCTTTCTAAGACTGATATATCACATATATTTTCTCACATTCTGTGTATTCTTCAAATTTTCACTTCACTCTATTGAGTTCTTGTAGTGTAGAAGCCTTTGGTTTTATGGAATCTCATTTTTTTTCCAGTTTGATTTTTGTTAACAATTCACAGTGTATGTCAAATGGAAAATACTTTTTAAATTATAGTTTTTATAAAGTACTTTGTTACATAACTGTTCTGAGAGGTGACCCTGTCACAAAATCAAAAGATGAAGACGAGAAGGATGAAAAGAGAGCCAAAATATCATACACACTTTAAAATAAACAGCATAAGTTCTATTTGCTGCAGTACAAACATCTGTTTTAAATTCCCAAAGAATTTAAAAATGGTGATGACAGCTGAGAGTTCAATCATAGTAAGTTCTTAGAGATTAGAAAGTCTATTTTATTTCTTCTTTTGTCTTCTTCAGTGTCCAGCATGCTGCTAAGCTTGGCATGGTGGCACATACTTTGTGTTTAGTGGGTCCTCAGATTTTTTTTTGTACAGTTGGGAATAAACTTCAAGATTACCTACCTGTTGGTCCCATTTCTCTGGGACTTGTTGGAAAGTGTTTGTCCATCTAGCTCTCAATTTATGTCCACGTCTTTTCTGCCTTTTCGGCTTTTTAATCACTCATTTTCTGAGTGCATCTTCATCTCTTTCTCTTTCATAATGTCTTGGTCTTCCCTGGTCACATTGCACTGTTGCTTCACTGTGTGCTGCATGTTGGCTTCACCTTTCACTGACAGTTTTCACACACACACACACCCCACAAATAATCATAAAACCCAAAGCATGCTTTAAGAATAGCTTTTGGGATATAATGTAAGTTTATGTATTAGGATTTTATAATTTATGTTATCATATTTATTTAAATTTAGTTGTTTTGCTTTTAATGTGTTATTGCCCACTGTTGAGGTTTTGTGTGGATGAACAAAATACTTGTTCTACATAAAAACCCACTTATATTAACTTTGTTTTTACTTTAATGGCCCGCAACTGATTTTTCCATAAGTTATTGCCCTGAGGTAAGCAATCTAGTCTCTACTTCCAAGACATAGTGGCTTTATTTTCTTTTCATTAAGTCTTGGTTTTTATTGTTTTGCTTTACCTATTGTTACGGTGACTTTCAGAATCCTGTCACTAATCATTTAGTGCTAGAAACAATCAACCCCCGTATTCCATTTTCGGCTTCAGGGAGCACAAGAACTCACTCTTCAGAGATGAATTTGAGAAAAGCCTCTTCATTAATCACCCTCATCGACTTGGAAAACTACATTTTTCCAGTATGGGATTCTGCCATCCCAACATCCAGGCCTTGGGCCATAGAATTATGTTCCATTGACCATAAATCAAACTCAGAATTTTATGTCTAATCATTGGAACCATAACTGTGAGCATAAGCTTTAAAAATGACAGAATAACAAAAGCTTTTCTGTGAAAAGAATCGTCTATAGTTGGCCACCAAATCTAGACATTTTGATCAGATGTGTGGAGAAAGGGAAAGGAAAATAGGAAGAGAGAAGGAGGGAAGGAAGGAGAAAGACAGCCAGATATTTCTGAAATTGTCATTAACTTAAGAACAGTGTCAAGGTATTTTCACTCTATGATAGCTACATA